CGGTGTGGCTGTGTCTCTCCGTGCCCCTCGGTGCTTGCTGCTTAGTGACGCAGGGCTGGGGGGCACCCGGGGAGATCGTCCCTGTGCCACCCGTATTCCGGTGATGCCTCTATTTCTGAAGCCCTTGAGTGCCAGCGTTTGGTATGTGAGCTCCTCTGCGGGAATGCATGTGGTTTCATCGCCGTTTTGTTTCTTCTGGTAGCTTGTTGTTGGTTGGTTGGTTGCTGGGGTGTTTTGTTTTTTGTTTTTTGTGGGTTTTTTTAATCGCCTTTTCAGTGCCCTTTTTTGCCTCGTTTTCTTAGGTTCTACTTATTTTTAGTTGTCGTTTGTATCAGCCTTATTTATCAGGTCTTCACATGTGAATAGGTCCAAGCCAAAACTAACTTCGGTTTTGTTAGTTTTTTAAATGTTTCTGACTCCTTAAAAATGATAGATCCTCTCTTCCCAAAACCTTCAGAATGACCTTAAAAAAGTTATAAATGTAATTTTTTTTTTCCTTAATTTTTCCTCTCCCTGTCTTTTCCAGGTATAGCTTAGTGTTATGGGTGAGACAAAAGAAGCTAAAATGCAGATAGCACCAGAAACTCCAGGACGAGTCACAGTGCTGAATCCTTTTGAAAGTCCCAATGATTATTATACTCTTCAGGAGCAGATTGTCTCCAGTCCTTCGGTCTTTAAATCAACAAAATCCTCATCTGTAAGATCTAGTCTTCAGTAGTGTAACTATACAGATGTAGTGTTAATAGTCTGAAATGCATTAAAGTACGCTAAATAGAATGCACTTTTTAATGTGTATGTTAAGCCAAAGAATTTTGATGGCATTTGGTGTTTTTTCTGGTTACAGGAGTATGCTGCTTTTAAAACTAACATTGTCACTTAGTCTTCATACTTTCCTGATTTTTTTTTTTCTTTAGCTATTAGGTATATGGTTAGATTAGCATATACCTGCTAAGTGCCAAAACCAGTTGAAAGTAGATAAAGGATGTCTGTTGGATGTGGTGTTCTTGTCCCACTTAAAGTAGAAAAAACCTAGTTCCTACTTGCATGCTAAGCAGACTGGATGCAAGTAAAACTTAATTGCAATTCTATTATGAACTGTTTACATACAGAATCAAGTTAATGGTTTTGTGTACGTATAACATTTTTTAATTGCAAATTGCATTTTGGTTTGCAGTTGAAATTATTATAAGCAGCGATAATGCTTTGCTAATGAAACTAAAGAGACTCATTTGGTAGATCAGTTTTCAAGCAGATATTTGAACAGTGTTTTGTAATTAATTGTTAAATAAAGGGGTGAAGCTGCTTTACACCTGAACTGGGTTTTGTTGTGAATTATGCATGGTATTATGAGGGAGACTTCGCAGGATGCATATGGGGTTGCGACTCCTAAGTCTTCTTGGAAGTGTGAAATGAAAGGAAGGCTGTCGTATTATTTGGATAACTTGGGTTTTCATGAAACTGCAATTTTGATTATGGCAATCTAGAAGCAACTGAATTTTATCTCAGGTTCTATATATCTGTTGGATCTTTCCTCAGAAATTGTGAAGAAATTGACACCTGAGTTTGTAAATATTAGCTATAGCATCCACTTTATATTATCTTGTAAATTGTTGTAATACCACTACCAGGATAAAGAAGCCTGATTGACTTAGTCATTTAAAGTAGATCACTTAGATAGAAACTCTTCTGTTTGAAAGTTATGATTGCATTGTTCCGTTGATATTTTTCCTGTGGTTTTATTTTTATCTTTTTAGACTAGCAAGCATTAAGATGTCTATTTCTTTTTTTAGACACCAGGAAAATTTAGATGGTCTATTGATCAGCTTGCTCTAATAAATCCTGTGGAAATTGACTCAGAAGATGTTCGACGCCAAGCAATGTATTTGAGTCATGCTAGGTAACTTCCCATCTGTTTTTTTGCAGTTAACTTAGCTTGAATACTCCAACAGTGTTCCTTTTGCTTTCTTGACCTTTCAACATGGCATTAAGGACATTTTCTTCAAATCTTTTAACATAGATTTTTATGTCCCTGATGTGGATATAATATTTAGGTGAGGCTGCCTCTGTGTCACTGTCATTCAATGTTAAGAACTGCTGTTCCACTCTGACTGCAGTTTGGAAAACAGCCAGATAAAAGCAGTCAATGGAAGCAAGAAAATATCTTGCCTGGGATTGTTACCAAGCTACCTCTCCTGCTTCTTGTCACAACACATTTATCAGTGTTCCATACTGAGACCTATGAAGTGCAGGCTTCTTTGTTTTTTGGGACTCCTGCAGAAGGGTAAGGCTGAGAAAGCTGGCTGGGAAGCCAGTACCCTTTTTGAAAGTTATAGATTTGACTTAATGTGAAGGAGGGAAGACCAGTAAGCTTGTTGTCTTTGAGGAGAAAGAGATTGCTAGTTACTTGAAATAATTTGGGGATCTTGGATCTCAACTTTTTCCTTTTTCTGAAAATAACTTCCATGAGGAAAACAAATGACCATGTGAAAACAGGCTTGGTATTCACAGCTCGTCTTGAGGGGTAGTCTTACACTCTAATAGTACAGAACATGCCAAGTGAAGGTAGTCAAGGGAAGGCCCCAATGGTGAATCCTATAGATACTCCCATACATTTCTCAGGTATGAACTTGCACAAAGAATTGCCCGTCATGGCATAGTGCACCACAGTAACAGACTAATAACACAATCGTCCATCGTGTTTATGCCTATAGGACGTTCAAGTCCTGTTAGTGAAAACAGAGGGCTGCTTAGGGCAAGAGTCCTCTGAATATTCATAGAATCATAGAATGGTTTGGGTTGTAAGGGACCTTTAAAGGTCATCTAGTCCAGCCCCCCTGCAGTGAGCAGGGACATCTTCAGCCAGGTCAGGTTGCTCAGAGCCTGATCCAACCTGACCTTGAATGGTGGGCATCTGCCACCTCTCTGGGCAATGTGTTGCAGTGTTTTACCACCCTTATCACAAAAAATATTGTGAATTAGACCTATTGTTCTTAGTGTGTGACTGAACCTACTATTCTTTTTGAACAGGAAGGGGTATAAGAAGGAATACGAATTTCTTGCTACAGTAGAGATGTAGAAAGAATATAACTGTCCTCAGCTGTCTCTGAATCACCGTGTCTTAATGTCAACATAATTTTTCTTAACATCTGTGTGTTTCCTGGCCTTCCTTTAGCAGCCAGTAGGTTTCAGACTCTATTGCATTTTATATGCTATAAAGCCTTAAGCCTTACAGACTTTAGGGAGTTGATTACATTGTTTCTGGAAGCCTATTAGGGCACATACAAACTAGCTTTAATGCAGATTGCTTGAGTGACAACTCCAGTGATGATTAGTGGCATGGCCTATAGATATAAACATGCGTTGTCTCAGTGGGTGCTTACAGGCTGTCCCACTGTTTCATACTGTGATTTTTTTATATATATTTTTTTTTTTTTAAATCTGATATGACTAGAAAGAGGCTAGTTTGTCTATGTGTAGATTTGCTGTGTCCATGCTTGAAAGTTTCAGTGTAGTACAGACTGAGGTGGTTATTTCTCGTGGCTGCAAACTGTACGTGATTAAGTGCATATATATATGTGTGTGTGTACATATGAATGTATATATATGTGTGTGTAAGATTTTCTATGGCAACTGGTTTTAATTTACATTTCATAAATACTGCTTTATGGAAACTAAAGTGTGGTAAATGCAGCTTTTGACATTAAAAGTTCCCTATAAAAAATTGAGTTTTTGAAGCCTGTGTACAATGTTACACAAAACATATACTTTAATAATATAACTCTATATTTTAATAATGCTTGTTAACAGGTCATTTTCTCAATTAGTTGCAGAGAACCACAAGCATAAGAAATATGGTGTATAAATATTTCAAACTCTTTATTCTCTGTTATGTGGTGAAAACAGTTTGGGTAACAGCACAGTGTAAAAGCTGATGAGCACTTTGCGAAGTCTAAGTGTGTATCATGCGTAGACTTGATTTTTGTGCAGTCTTACTGTTTCCATAAACTGGGCATCATCTGTGTGCTGTGTGTTTATTGCACTGCTTATAAAATGATTTGGAGAATTTTTTTCTGGCAGACTGTATTAATGAAAAATAGTCTGCCAGTAACTGAGCAGGCATAGTGCTGCAGTCTTGTCCAGAAACTTTCCTATTCCTTTTTTATTTCTACTGGTAGAAATTGGAGGTTTCTAAATTGGATGCTATGCTAATATATGTTAAATATTAAAACAATCTGTACTGCATCTTGCATATTGTGTGTCAGAGTTGCAAGTGCTATGTTGCTTGAAGTTGCATATGAGACTGGCTTGGTTTTATTCTTATTAAATACACATGGCATTTTCTCTTTGTTATTTTACTGGAGTTAAGCACTAAAGAAATAACATGCTATTCTGCACTAACCAGCACTTTTAGTGGGAGCTAAAAAGTGAGAGCTACTGTTTCTCCTTTGGAATCTGGCCTGTAAAGATCCTTATTACTTGTGCATAAATATACAATGATTGCATGCTTATTTCTTTTTGGTTACAATAACTGAATTTTGTGCTAGTGTCTTCATAGAACTGTCACTTTAGCATCACCTAGGCAGGCATAGTTGAAGATGGCGTGTCCAAGTATTGCAGATCTATTCAAAGTCTGAGTAGCATCAAGGAAAGAGGGCTGTGAGGAAAAGTTTATGTATGTATGTTACATCTACATGTGTTTGTGTAGCTAGTTATGTCTGTTATCTGACTGATTTCTAAAATTATTCAAGGGTAATTCAGGTATACTGACTGTGTATAGAAGTATTATGTGATTCAGTTAAGATGAATATTCATTGTAAATTTTTTTTTTAAATTACATAGTAGTAAGTGAAAGTGAGACTTGAAGGTGAGCGTTCAAGGAAGTATAAATGTAGATTCTCAGATATCATTCGAAGATGGCTAGGTTAAAATTAATTTTTGTAAAAACTAGGTTAAAAGCTGGAAAAGGGAATGTGTTAATTGATTCAAACTGAAATACAATGTTGAATGCTGAACTGAAGAAAATACGGAAGACTAGCTATTCGATGACGGGGGGGAACTGTGTGCTGCGAAAGTGGTCTTTGTCAGGAATTTGAGTACACAAACATTCCACAAGTATCTTCTGTTGCCCTTTTGTTCCTTATAGCTCAGTTTTTTATTCTGCTTGATTTTTTTATTGAGATTCTTTGTAAGCCTAATCTCATGGCAACTTTAACAGTAAAATCTATTCATATGACAAGTTCAACATAACTAAATGGATTATTTTGGAAGATCAGTTATGATTGAGTTTTTGTCCGGATAAAAATACTTGCTGATACAAGGAGTAAATAGAAGATTTGCAAATATGTATTTATGAATGGTACAGATCTTTTTCAAATGAACTGAAGTAACAGAGAAGTACATTTATATTTCTAAATTTATAGTATGAGATTATTGCACATAACAGTAAAAACAGCATAAGATTTAGGGTTTAGTACAATTTCGTTTATAATGTTTCTGTTTAAGCATCTCTAAAAGATTACGTGGACTTTATTTTATTTTTTTCAATTATGTGATGGTTTTGATTATTGAGTTGTTTTTCTTTTGTTACTTAGAATTGATAAGGAGACAGAAGACAGAAGGCAAAAAGCCATTGAGGAGGTAATAAAACTTTCTATGCTATCAAGAATTAATTTGTTTTAGCTGCGTACCTACAAAAAAGATCCATGTCTATCATAGAATTTCAAAACCCAGAAGCCTGTTATATATTACTGGTCAGTCAGAAAGTAATTTTGTGTCCTTTTTCCTTGCAGTTGTAGTTGGAATACACATGGTCTTTCTCTTCCCATCTTCTTTCACAAACCTGTAGGTCAAAAGAACAGATTTTTTTTTTTCTTTCATGTTGCTTGGCTAGAGGGAATGTAGCTGTAAGGTAACACTTAATAGTTAATTTAAGGTTAAAAATAATGATTGAGTATTTGTGGGTTTACAGTAACTGTTAGTGTTAGGTAGCTTAGTTTCTTTTATTGCATTTTTAAAAAAAGCAGAACCTTGGTGATTTATTTTTTTTTTCTGTTTTTCTTCCAAAGTCTGTTTAGTTGGAGGCAAGACTCTTCTGGTAGCTTGTAATTCTCTCTGTCCATTTTCATTTTATTTTTCACTCTCCATTTATCTAGCAGAGAAGGAAAAGTAAAGTGTTTCAAATCTTCACTATAGAAATCTTCAATGTTATTTCAATTTCAATTTAAAAAAGGAGAATAAAATAAGGCTCTGATAGGCAAGTCTTCCTTAGTGTTATTGACCATTTTATATTGTAGCATGCGGTTATCAGTTTCTGTCTCTAAACAAAAAAATGTTTTATGATTCCATAATGGTGCAGTGAAGTTGACCTGGAGCTAAGATACTCTGTTGTTCTAAATCTGCATTAAAAAGGATGTTTCTTCTTTGTGAGGCATAAGCTAATGGATTATGCAGCTGAACAGCTTGAAACCATGTCTCTGGTAAAAATTATGCCTTTAATAGTTGAGAGTTTCAATCTGAGTTTTTTTCCATTGCTTTGAGTTTTGCTTTTATTGTGAGAGCAGGATTTGCGATGTGTTTCTTGAAGCTATCATAGCGTTCATCTCCTCAGCATCAGGATGTTCTAGAGTGCAGCTGTGACAGCAGATAGTGTTTCTGGTTCAAAGACAAGGACTGAAGTGCCAGTACTCACAAACGTTTCACTGCTAACCAGTTTAGCCAAATACACTAAAATACTGCCAAAAAGCCTTAGTTGCCCACTTCTTTTACTGTTACTATAGTGTCTCTTTCGCACTTCTGCAAAATAGCTCAATTGTCAAAATACAACAATTTAACAAACTGAAAATTTGAGAAGGACTATGTTAAACTACTGTGCAGTAAGTATCATAGGGACAATTCAAGTTTTTAAATGAGTAATTAGTGTTAAATGAAACTTGTACAATTTTCATGCTGCAGACTTGAAAGATCCGAGGTGGTGTGTGTCACAAAGAACAAATCAAATTATTTTTTTTTTAACCTCTCTGGGCCTGAAATAATGAAATATATTTTGGGTATACATGATAACTCTTTCTTCCCCAAAACCTATAGTTAAAATTCTTAAAATATAGATCTGTGATTAGCAAAAGATATGACTTAATTTTTTTCTTGTTCAGGGTACTAGTCTAAATTTAAGTTGAGAATCTCCAATTTTTAAAAGCGCTACAATGGCTTGTTTCTATTTTACTCTAGTTTTTCACAAAAACACTCATAGTACCTTCTCCTTGGACTGAACATGAAGGCAAGCAAGTTTCTCAGCTTAATTCAACTAAATGTAAGTTGCTTTTGTGTGTCCACCCAAAATTATGTAGCTTTTGGGGAAATGACCAAGCGTAATTTTTTTCAACCTCAATTTAAATTTTAAGAACCAATGATAAAAGATTGCACAACTGGTAGATTTTTAGCTGTTCTCTCCAAGTGCTTTCTGTGTTTAAAAATGATTAATTAATCCAGAATTTTACATAATGTTTCTATTTTGTTATTTTTGATTCTTTCATAGCCTGACTTCAACTAGTTTAATTTGCACACACCACTTTGCTCTGTCAATACTGGTAATAGCCAAAGTCTCCTACTTCACTCTTTTCTTCTGATATCTGCATGTCTGACTTATTATGACTGCTACCCTGCCAGTGTTGGTATATGGAAAACTGATTATCTACCTTTTTTTCCTACCCTTACTTGCCTAAGTTCCTGTTGTCCTCTTAGTGTCCTGCTAGCTCACTGTCACTGTACGTAGGTTTGTGGGGTTTCTAAGTTTATTTTGTTTACGCCATTATCAGATTTTGTTATTAATGTTGTTGTTATTAAAGTTTATTTATAACCAACAGAATGCATAGTAAATGGATTACAAGCCAGACAAATGTCAGCTATAAAGTATTGTTTACATTCAGTGTTGTTTGGTAGGAAATTCTTGAATAAGTGTTTGGAGATTTTTGCGAGATTTGGAAGAGGTTAAATTTTTTTATCAAGGAGATGCAGCTTGTGGATAGTGTATTTTAATTGTCAATTCTAAGTTTGTCACTTCTTAGGCAGAGAATATAAGCCACAGTCTTAGACCTGGGAAAGTGAATGGTGAGAGGAAATGGTCTAATGTGTTCCTAAGCTGTATAAAAAGGGCAGAGTGGTAAATTCTTCCTATTTGTCTTCAAGTCCAGACTGCATGATTCTCTGGGAGTGTGATTTATGTGAAGACAGCCTGTTTGGCTAAGCATAAATCAATTTTGTTTTAAATCTCTGTAATGTAGATGAGGCTGCAGGAGACACAGATTTGGGCAAAGTTGATGCTACTTCACTAAGCTTTTTTTGAATAGAAAGGTGCTGAAATTCTCTTCAGCAGCTATAATAGTAAACTTTCTTCAGTATTCCCTTCTAATCTCTTCCACACTTTGCAAAAATTTTGTTTAGTTGTATTTAATATTCTAACTTACTGCTTCTAGGTTTCAAAACTATATGTAATGCATGCTTAAATTTAAGTTCTTATCTGTTTTGCAGCCATAGATCTAAATAACATTTCTCCAATTGGAAGACAGCTAACTTTGCAGCCTGGGAAAAGCAATGGTGGGTAAAAGGCAATGCCTGAAATTACAGGCTTTCGTTGAAGCAAAATAACCTTTTTTTAATGGCTATTTAATTTCAAAAGGGTTTTTTTTTGTTAATACTCCTGTAGAAATATTTTTCTTGAGTCGTATGGTACTATTAATTTTAACATACATTTCTCATAGTAATTTAATTCTATTATATGCTTTCATATTTTTTCTGAAGTAAAAATTGAAGTCCTCTGTGAAGTGCATTTTTTCCAACTCAATGTACGCACTTTTCCTGAATTACAAAGTGAATATAAGCCCAGGTTTATGGGTAAATTACTGTTTCAAGAAACCTTTAAAGTGTTGGATCATTTTGGGTTAGAGAATCTTGATTATTTTCTCTGCCATATAAGTAGCAGAAATCTTAAGACATCTTTTAAGCTGTTTCATTTTAGATAAATAGGTAGTGTTTTTCCCTAGGGTATTCTGATGATCTTTCTCCCATTTTCTTTTGAATCCTTCCTTTCTTCAGAGACCTCTCTCCTCAGTGAAGAATGCCTCTCTAGAGGCTTTTCTGTTACAGCCCTTGTTTTTTTATCTCTAGGCCTGAGCGTGCTGCATATAGTGTTGTCAAATCAGAATCCTGGCTTTAATTAACACTTTTCCTTATTGCAACTGTAACTTAAATAGCTCAATTGCAAGGCAATTTGAAAGTGAATTTTTGTTTCTACAGTTTTAGTAAAAGGTCACTGCAAGCTAATTTTGTTGGTTTTATTCGTTGCAGCTGCTTGTCAGACAGTACTGTCTTTGCCAGTGGATTTTAATTTAGAGAAAATACTAGGTATGTCATGTAACATCTAAATTTAATTATGCGTGTCTAAATAGAAAACTTGGTTTTGTATTGTCTGCTGGTTTTTTTTTGGTTTATGAAATACTGAAAACCTAATGTGTGAATGAAAGTTTTAAGTATGTTCTAAATAGACAGTTACGGTATGTTGCATGGGACACCTGACTTAAGTGATGATATTTGAGTGTGAACACAAAGATAAAAGAGGAAGGATATGGAGGTCAGTTGGAAATTGATTAACAATTCTGAGTGCATAAAAGGTAGTAGGCAGAAGACACCCTGTGCCTCCCCCAAACAGAGCAGTTATTTAACTTGGCAGAGCTGTTTGGCTTGCAGATTTCTGGCCATAAGGCTCGTAGCCCAACCTTGCCTTGAGCAAAGCTATTCTATAATTCTGTGCCTTTAATTTAACTGAAGCCATGGTGGTGACTAGAAGTTGTGTGGTGGCAAAAAAGCTGTGACCGCTGAGTGGGGAGATAAGAGTCCAGTCTGATTATAACTGCTGTATCAAGCAATTGCTGCCAGCTTCTCAGGCAAGGGGGCTGGAAAGGCCTGTTCTTACAGCTCATATGTGGGAATAGTGCGTATGGCCAGCTCAGAGGTTTTTTTTTTTCGGCTGCATGCTTCTATCCCAGTATTGAAGTTGCAACCTTGATTGTGGGCCATCAAAATTAAAACAAAAACCAGAACCTTATGTATTGCATTTGTGTTTCATCTTAACAAATGCTTCTATTGATGCATAGTTTGTGAATTCATGAAAAATTTGTTCTACAAGGAATATCCAGTTAGAATAAAGCAAGAGCAAAAAACTGAAGTAATCGGATAAGTCTCCACATATTTTGATGGTCTCTGTTAACATCTGTATGCTTTTCTACTGTAACTAACTGCTTTGACTTTGAGTTTAATCTGGTTTGCCTTTGGATGTATCACGATGACCATCAAAGCATATGGGAGACCTGAAAAAGGGTCTAGTTTTGCTTGGGTAGGAGAATAACCCCTTTTCAGAACTCAGATGTGAAGAATAATACAATTTTGGGAAAAGGCCAGTAAGTAGATGCTAGCCACTATTTACCTTTTTTTAAAATGCAGACTTTACTATTAAGGCATGATAGGCAGAAGTGGAACCTTAGTAGACAAAGTTGACTTCTTGTAATGGTAACAAGTGAGCCTTTGGGATAGGTACCTAAATTGGACTAAATGTTTTAATTTAGTTATATATGTCTCTGTAGTGGAAGATTTTTTTTTCTTGCATTCTTACTGGAAATGACTTCTTCCCCACATTTCTAGGTGAATATTTTAGAACTGATGAATTTGCAGATCAGTCTCAGGAAAATCTGAGCTCTTCATCACTCAGAAGAAAGCTGTTTTTAGAAGAAAATGGAAGTGTATCTGAGTGTTTGTCCACTTCTCTGCATAGTCCACTCGGTAGTCAGCCACTTGGAGTGCTGTGTTCAATAGACATATCTCCAGTCCGGTGCAGAAGCCCTCTGGAAACATCTAGCTCAGTAAGTAGCCTGTTTAGGGGGCTGGATGCAATGTAGCTTACCCGGCGCAAGAGTAGTTCTTAGAGCAGGCTGTAGGGATTTTGTGTTCTAACAGACTTCACAAGATGAACCACCATGATTTTAGTAAGCTACAACGGCTTTATGAGAGAAGAGGTGTTAGACCAAAGGGTGGGTTTGGTTGTTGTTAAATTCCAAGTTCAGAAAAAAAAGAAATGTGAACAAAAAAAGTCTTGAAAGAATATATTGCTGACATTTTATATCAAATTAGTATGTATGTGTATAGAAGGAATTATGCTTTAATTTTATGTTATGAAAAAGAAGTAGGAATTGATAGATACACAAGACTTGCTGAAGGCATGTTGAAACCATTTTTTGTAGAACACGTATACAAAAAAAAGACCTGTTTAAATCCATGAACTGCTGTCTAAAATACTAGTTGATATGAACAGGTGATATAATTATTTCCCTTATAGCTCATAAAGTCATTTATGGTGGAAGAAATTACTTGTGGATCTTTGAATGCAGTGCTAAATATGCTTTTTTTCTTTTCCATTGAGCAGAGATTTCAGGTGAATAGACACTTATTTGAACACAGAATATAGTGTTGGGTTTTTTAAATTAAGCGAGAATAATCTTATTCCCAGGTGGACATAGCACAGCTAAACTGGTTTAAGTGGTATGGTTTCATCTGTTTGGCAGCTGAATTTCATGAAAAGAAACTACCCCAGCAAGAGGGTGGCTTAAAAAGAGCAAGTCTTCACTTTGGTAACCTAGTAAAGAATTCCTGGAACATAATTATACTGGTAGAAGTGACTTCTTTTTTGTACCATACTCCTAAGCAAGATCACACCCACTGTTCTCTTTTCTTAAGGGGAAGTATTTTGTCATCTTTTGAGTTAAATGATTCAGATAATATGGATTCCATTAAAAGATAAATAGTGGCTGGCGTTCATCTGCATTGGTATGAGCAAGAAATTGAAATTAAATGCTTGACTATGTACACAGATAGCATTAATTCTAGGCTTCTCATAGTTCTTAAATATAGCTGATATTATAATCTTAGCTGGCATTATGTGACATTTTCAGTCCATTGCTCTTTTCCTTATGCAGAGGCATAGAGTCCAAGTGAAGAGCTGCAACTGGAATATTTAAGCTAAACTAATGAGAGAGATTGTCATTGAACAGGATTAACTTTCCTTAGTGCTGCCATATTAAGGTTTTTAATTAGAACACTTCTTACATACACATATTAGTCACAGTTTACATTATGAAAATATACTTTTTTTTTCTTTTTTTTTCTTTTTTTTCTGAAGGGTCAGTTTTCGTCAAGTCCTATTCAGGGAGGAGCGAGGGCTTATAGCCTGGGAAGTATAACCAGTCCCACGTTTCCAGAGGAGTCTCCTGCACATAATGGTTCTCCTACTTTTTCACCAATTGCTTTTCACATAAGAAAGACACCACTGTCAGGTATGTTTTATTTGTATATGTATTATTCTTTATTGATTTATATATTTTTATTATAAAAACTGCTGGATTCTTACTGGAACTTTTTGCTGTTTGGAGACAAGTTACTCTGCTTGGCAGACTAGCGGTCTCCTCCTGTATGACACATTTACTGTTTACCAGTAAAATATCTTAATGATGCGAAACGGTGAAGTGTATTTGCTTGCAAAAAAAATCAACTAGGGAAAATATTTTAGATGAAGGAATTGAGACCTAATAGGAATGAAAAAAAATTAAAGGATTAATCCAGTGTGAGGACGGGGTTTAAAGCCATGTGCCTGAACTAAGTCAGTTCACGATTCTGATTTGGCTCAAGCTGAAGCTATTGAATTGGACAAAGAATGTTTAGCTTGAGTTTTTAAATCATGTCGTCATGAAGATTATTTGAAATGAAACTGACTAGTGAAGAAATCACAAACATTTTGTGTCCCTGTTGTTCTACAAAATGTCAGTATTTCATGTTTTGTCCATTACCTTGTAGGACTTAACACCAGGTTTATACATGATTTTGCTCTGATGAGCCTTGTGGTATTTCAGCACCATTATATGCGGAGATTGCATAGGTGCTGTCTCACTTACTTGATTTTCTTGAAAACTTTATTGCTGCCCCAAATTTTTAAAACATCTGTGGAATTTGTGTATTGATACTTCTTTGGAAAGAAGCTGCAGAACCCACCTTCACACATTTTCCTCTGAACACTGCGTAGTATTGACATTTGAAAATGCAAGGCCTCCAATACAGCAAACCATGTTATAGGAAACAAATCTAGTGGTGGAAACGGGATAAAAATTTGCCTTGACCGTGATAGTTTAAAAGGGCTGGTGGCTTGGTGTTGGTTGGTTGGTTGGTTGATTGGTTGGTTGGTTGGTTGTTTTTTTTTAAGCAGACCTTGGAGCTGGGAGACAGTGGTCAGTGAAATACTATGTAGTTTTCTCTAATTATTCAAAGGATTGTGGGGCTTTGAGGATGATGCCTTTAACTCCACCTGACACCCAATACAATTTTGTTGGTTTTTACAGACCAAAGAAAACTTACATTTCGTTCTCCAGATATTCCTTCTTCCTCAAATAGAATGACACCCCCAAGTACAAGAAGTCCTTATATAGATGGTTGTTCTCCAATTAAAAATTGTTCTCCTATGAGGCTTGGAGCATGTAGAGGAACTGCCCAGTATCAGACTTCTGTCATTAGAATACCGATTACGGTTGAGAATCACAGTGAGGATGAGGAAGACAAGGAAAATGCTGCTCCAGCAGAAGCTCTGTTCCAAGAAATGGATAATGGAATAAACTTGTGTCAGCAAGACAGTGATACTTTTGCACATGGTGCACATCTTGTGGTAGCAACTGTGTCTATTGCACCTGATCGCTCAGAAGCTTGTCATCAAAGGCTGTCAGCATTTCAGGATATAGAAGGCTCAAAGGAAAATAATACTGTAGATATGGCTGATGCAGCTGAAGTGTCAGAGGAAAACACTTGGATAAAAGAAACAATTGGCAATAGCAACGCACCGATGACCAGCTTTGTGACAGGAATTACTTTCAGTATTGAAAACTCTCGCATGTGCATGTCACCTCTTGCAGAAAGCAGTGCAATTCCTTGTGACAACAGTAGTATTCAGGTAAAAACTAAAATCTTTTTCTGCTTCCCTGTAAAACTGAGCTCAACATACTAACTTTTAATATGTAGACCATTCTGGAAGTAATTGTCTGTTTTCTCTTATTGGATGTGGCATGCAGGAGGTATTGTGACTTTTATTCCTTTTTCTTCTCTCAGTGGAGTTAGCATAGCAATTATAAATTATTTTTGTGTTATTATGTACAGTAATACATTTAACTTCATCCAAACGAATTCTAACAGACCCATTTATAATTTACTTTTGTTATTAACTGATGGTAGTTGGCTTGTTTGATTAAGTACTGTTAATCAACTGCAAGTTATATCAGGTATGAGAATCTGAGGGGTTTATTTGTGTTCAGTTGCAGTACATTTTTAAAGCCCTGCTTCTTGATTCCAGGTCGACAGTGGTTATAATACACAGACTTGTGGAAGCAGCATTATGGATACTGCGGGGACTGAAAACAGTTGCAGAGAAAATGATGTGAATACTAATGTGTTTCAGAATAAATCTCAGCTGTTTAGAACAAAGGTAGGAGTTAAATTGTGATACAAAAATGACAGCCTTCTCATCTAAAGCATCCGTTCCCTATTTTATTCAGTTTCAGGGAGCCTGAGGGGAGAGACTGTCAGGTGGTAATAAAGAGCGTGTTGTAGAATTATTTCAAGTATTATGTTGAAAACAAGGAATAAATGTGGGACAAATACCATAAGCTGGCAATAAAATTAATGTGTTCTATGACAAATGTAGACATAGTTTCAGAGGAGACTGACGTATATGGCCGACCAGACCCATCCCACAGGGAAGTCTGCTGCCTTCCTGGGACCTGGGTTAGAGATGTTACTGGGAAACTCCCTGGTCCGGTACGGCCCTCTGATTACTACCCGATAGTGGTTATGCAGGTTGGTAGTGATGAGGTTGCGGAGAGAAGTCCAAAGGCGATCAAAGGGGACTTGAGGGCACTGGGGCGATTGCCTTTTATCAAGGCAGAGGGATCTGGACAGGCTGGATCAATG